CTTCAGATTTGTTTGAATGAATTAAATTGGTAACGCCCATGGCGAAATCCAAACCGCTCAGCTGCAAAAATTGAGTTCGTATTGATGTGAAGCATCATTCTATTCAAAATTATCTTTTCAAAAAGTTTACTTATTGAAGAAAGCAAACTTATTGGACGGTAGCTAGAAGCTTCAGCTGGATTTTTATCCGGCTTCAAAATTGGAACAACTTTTGCATTTTTCCATTTATCAGGAAAGTATGCCAAATGGAAACATCTGTTAAATAATTTTACCAAGAAAGACAAGGTACTCTCTGGGAGTTTTTTGATGAGGATATAGAAAATTCCATCATCACCTGGAGCTTTCATATTTTGAAAATTTTTAGTTATAGACCTTACTTCGTCCAAATCAGTCCCCCAGGAATCATCAAAAATATTTTCCCGAGAGAAAATATTCAGAAAATCCCGAGCAACCTGATCCTCAATAGGACTAGTAAGACCCAAACTGAAATTATGGGAACTCTCGAATTGCTTAGCAAGTTTCTGAGCTTTTTCCAAATTTGTGATCAAAATTTTACCACCTTCTTTAAGCGCTGGAATAGGCTTTTGAGGTTTTTTCAAAATTTTTGTGAGTTTCCAAAAGGGTTTGGAACTCGGGTCTAATTTAGAAATATTATTTTCAAAAGTTTTGTTCCTCAGGGCAGAGAATCGCTTTTTAATTTGTTTTTGCAAATCCCGCCAGATAACTTTCATGGCAGGATCGCGTGTTCTTTGATATTGTCTCCTACGGACATTTTTAAGACGGATCAAGAGCTGAAGATCATCGTCTATTATAATTGAATCGAATTTAACCTCGCATTTTGGTACTGAGGCAGCTCTTGCTTCAACTATAGAAGTAGTCAGAGATTCAAGAGCATAATTAATTTCATCTTTGGTTTGCAAAGGAATGTTTGGATCGAAGTTATATTCCATAAATGTTCGATACCGCTCCCAATTAGCTCTATGGTAATTGAAAGTAGAGCTGTTGGGATTAGAAATTATTTCTTGGGATATTTCAAAAGTTACTGGAAGGTGATCAGAACCGAAGTCAGCATGAGTAACCAATTGGCTACAAAGTTGACATGAATCAGTTAAGACCAAATCAATAGTGGAGGGATTTCTTGCAGAAGAAAAGCATGTTGGGCTGTTTGGATATTGAATAGTGTAATAACCTGCAGAACAATCATCAAACAGAATATTACCATTGGAATTGCTTTGAACATTATTCCATGAGCGGTGTTTTGCATTAAAATCACCAATAATGAAGAATTTAGACCTATGACGGGTAAGTTTCTGGAGGTCACCCTTGAGAAAATTCTTTTGCTGGCCTACGCATTGGAATGGCAAATAGGCAGCTATAAACGTAAGTTGTCCAAATTTTGTTTCAACAGAAACTCCCAAAGTTTCAAAAACTTTGGTTTCAAATGAAGAAAGAATTTTATGTTTGATTCGTCTATGAATAATGATGGCAACGCCACCACAGGGTCCATCAAGACGATCATTTCTATAAATCAAGTAATTTGCGTCCTTCTTAACCTTATGGGCAGGTTTAAGGAACGTTTCAGTTATAACGGCAATATGCACGTTATGAACTCTCAAAAAGTTAAAAAGCTCGTCTTCATTATCTTTAAGAGATCGAGCATTCCAATTTACAATATTTAATGCTTTAAAATCCATTACTGAATTTTAAAGTCATGACAATATTATTTGCAAATTTTACTCCAGTTTGAATAGCATCAAACATGGAGTTAGATTTAAGCATATCAGAAATCATGTCAATTAATGAATTCTGTAAAAATTCCATTTTGGGGGCAGTAATGCTTCCTAAGTCAAAATTGTCAAAATTTCCGTTAGAACGTTGGTTAGTATTTTAATTTCTACCCGCTGCAATAGCAGCATAGGTAGCTCCATTAACTCGCTGAACATTGTTAGCAGCGAGGGGAGTAGGTACAGATGAAACATTTGAAGCAGGGGAGATATTTGTACCTACGGGTACGAATGTAGAATTTGTTCCTCGCTGACCGTTGTTAACAGCAGAGGAATTTGTACCTGTTCGGAAACGTGGAGTGTTTCCTACCTGACGGTTAGAACGAGATTGTAGGATCGCTTTGCGAGTCTTACATTCCCAAAAATTGGATTTGTGGTTTTCACCACAATTTGAACATTTAAATTTCTTAGGATCTTCCTTCACAGGACAGTCGTCCTTTGCGTGAGAGGAATCACCACAATTCATGCATTTAGCTGGCATGTAGCAATTTTTAGTTCCGTGACCCCATCCCTGGCACTTACGGCACTGGGTGAGGTTTTGGAAATTTCCTCCAGTCTTCCTGAAGTGTTCCCACTTCACTCGGACATGGAGCATAAGGCTAGCTTTTTCTAAGGCCTTAAGGTTGTTTAGTTCACTAGACTTGAAGTGAACTAAATAAAAATCATTAGAAATCCCGTTGCGCGAATCGCCAGGACGGGATTTCATTTTCATTTTGATTACTTGGAGTGGCACAACTCCAAGTAATTTTGCCAGTTCATCTTTGATCTGATCCAGGGATTCACCACTGGGCAGTCCTTTCATGACAACCTTGAACACACGTTCAGTTTTGGTGTCGTAAGTAAAAAATTTGTGCTTCTTCTCAGTAAGATACTTGAGAAGACATTTAAATCCGTCCAAGGTTTCAGCCAATACACGGCATTCACCCCGACGTCCAATTTGTAGTGAAAACTTAACTTTCACGAAATTCAAAAGTTCCAAGCGAAGAGCATGGAAATCGGTAGTGGTTATCACAATAGGGGGAATCTTTTCCTTCTTGGCATTAAGCCGGGAAAGTTTACTAGAATTTTTCTTGGATGATGGATCATTCTCATCATCCGTGAGCAAATCAAATTGATTACTCAAATTAATTTCATCAGAAGGGGGGTCAAGAGTTTGCCCCTTTCTTTTGCGTTTAGGCGCCATGGCGGCAGTAAATTTTTATCCAGATCGACTTCCAAGCAGATTACTATAAGAATCTGAAGGATCGAAGAGGAATTTTCCAAATCGATATCCAAGAAGGATTACCTCGGGTAGGGTCCAAACAAGGATCGAAGAGGAATAAGAGTTGAACAAGGTAGAAAATTTTTACAGGTTGAGCACTGAAAAGTGCTGTTTAAATTTGTTGTAGCTTTAGGTAGTAGTAACACTTCCTTCAGCAAAAAGCAAATAGATCCGCACGGCAAGAGAGCACGATGCGGACTGATCTTAAAATAATGTTTCATTTCAAAGTTCGAGTGGTAGTAAACGTCATTTTATCTGCTCGAATGAAGTGGTTAATTGAACCTCGAATAAGGCTGTCCACGAGAAAGTATAGTCGCTTTATTCATAGTCTGGTGGATAGAATGTCAGGAACCAATTGAGCTGTCAAATAGCGGAACCAATCGAGCAAATCACGACCAACAACAGAAAAGAGCACATCAGCTTTTAAGAACAACCCTTTTCTCGTGGCTCAAGGCTCGTCTACGCTACCTAACACCATCTTTGGGTTGGGGAAAGTTTCCCCTATCCGATGTAGCTGGTAATTTGCGTTCGATTGGCGAGGAAAGAATAATCAACGTTTTGTTTATAAAAGTTGATAGTACCTTTTCAATTGTTGGTCGACAGTATATTTAATTGGTTCCGAGCTTTGATGGATCAAAATTCTATCCGCCAGACTATAAATATAGCGACTATACAAGACAGTTGCGATCAGCTGACTTTTTTGTTTACCAAGAACTTTTGACTTCTTCTTCTTCTTGTTTCCTTTATTTAACTTTGGTCTCTGTTCCGCAATCTAGTGCCAATCACCGACGGACATCGATTGCTATCCATTGACGACAATCGAATGTGCAGGAAGGCAGCTTCCACACCTGCGTACGATATCGCACCCATTCAACACACATGGGCCGGGACCAACGGCTTTACTTCCCTTCCGAAGAAAGACGTGACCAGAGATTTTTATGCCTCAGAAAAATCCCACCAACCTCGGCTGGGATTGAACCCAGACCAATTGGGGTGAGAAAGCAGTCACGCTTACCGCTACACAACCGGTGCCGGCAAGAACTTTTGACAAATCGCAGTAGAACCTCTATGGTAGAACCAACAATCAATACGAAACTAACGATTTTAAATTGGCTCACTACTTGACTAGCCTATTGGTCCCAAAGAATCGAATAACGTACCCCATTCTAGTCAAAATTCTAGCACTACACAATGTTTGATTTGATTCGCTATGAAAGTTTGACAGCTAAAATGAGGGGTTATTGGATTTTCCTATGTTCGAGGGGTGAATCGATTAGCTTGGGACCGAAGATAGTACCAGAGCTGAGCCAAAAAGTTGAGCACCTTTCTTCGGGACCTACTAGTCTTAGAGTACCTCTATGGTAGAACCATAGAGGTAACTCTAAGACTAGAAGGTCCCGAAATAACGTGCTCAACTTTTTGGCTCAGCTCTGGTACTCTCTTCGGTCCCAAACTAATCGATTCACCCCTCGAAAATCCACTAACCCCTCATTTTATCGGTCAAATTTTCATAGCGAATCAAAACAAACATTTTGTAGTAGTAGAATTTCGACTAGTATGGGGTACGTTAATCGTTTGCTTGGGACCAATAGGCTAGTCAAGTAGTGAGCCAATTTAAAATCGTTAGTTTCGTATTGATTGTTGGTAGAACTGGCAGTTTATGATATGAATTTCTGTTTTGTTTATGTTTCCATTCAGCAACATTAACACCAGATCACTCACACACTCTAGATTTCTAGCTGTCAGTTCCACTGAGAAACGTCTTTTGGATCACCTCAGTCGCTGAGTTGTTGTAGATGGCCGTATAGAATTTTTGTGATTTTGAGTTTAAAATCACTGAATTTTGAGGTGATCTCACCGGTCGTGTAACAGTGGATTTGTTTTCGAAAAAAAATAAATAAACTGGCAACTCGGCGATGTGTCAAAACGTTTGTCGATAAACACAGTGGAGTAACAAAAAGCTGCAAAAGTTAAAGCGTATTGAAAAATAACGAAAAGTTTATTCTTCACATCAGATATTTGCTTATCGAAACTATTAAAAATGGGAAAAGGCTTCAATAATTACATGTGCAAAAAATTCTTCCATCCTGCCTCCAGGGATAACCTGAAACGGGTATGTTTAGGGATGGGACATCATTTTGATTCTTTGTTTTAGGATCACATTACTCATACGCAGGACCATAAAATATGCATTCCAGGTATGGATGGCAGAACAACAGGCGGAAGCCTACAAAAAAAAGCAAGAGGAACTCCGGAATCAATACGAAAAGGAGCAGGAGCTTCACGACAACAAGGCTATGCTGAGCAAGGAAAGCAAGGATAAGCTAAGTGTCAACTTCATGTACGAGCTCCCTCCGGGCATGAAGAAGGAGCGGGAAAAGGAAACAACCGACGAAGCTGAGTACAAGTTTGAATGGCAACGGAAGTACAACGCTCCGAGAGAGAGCTATTGCAAGGGAGACACGGAGATTCGTGATCAACCGTAAGTAGAAGTTAAACCATAGCGCTCTTGAGGCTATCGATTGTGGATTTTTATAATCTTGAAATGTTTTCTAGTTTTGGCATACAGGTCCGTAACGTTCGCTGTATCAAGTGTCACAAATGGGGGCATATCAACACAGACAAGGAATGCACCATGTACAGTCTTTCTATGAGTGAAGCCAAAAAGATTCATTCAGAGGCAGAAGCCAACCAGATACTTTCGAAGAACGATTTAGAACAGGGTCTCCGTGAAGATGGACTTGCTATGAAGAGAAGTGCTAAGGAACTTGCTACATCTCACAAATTAGTAGACGAACCAGGCATGGACAAAGTGCAGACTGAGACGGATTTCATTAAATCGCTCTCCACGAAGCAGAAGAAAAAGCTGCTGAAAAAGTTGGAAAAAATTGAAAAGCGCCATAAACAAGAAAAGAAACACAAGAAAAAGAGAAGTTCCAGTTCCTCAAGCTGTTCGTCAGACGATTCCGATGACGAAAGAGAGAAGCGGTTGTCGAAGAAAAAGGTCAAAAAATTTCACCGTAAACATGAATCAGATTCGGAGGATGATAACCGAAAGAGAAGCAATAAGGAACGATTCCACAAGCGATCACGTTCACCACATTACGGAGAAAGCAGCAACGGAAGAAGGGACCGTGATCGTTCACGCTCCAGGAGTCCACGACGCGACCGCAAAAGACGTTGAATTCCATCCTTAAAATGTCATTAACTTATCACCATGAGCTCATAAAGAGCATTCTTTATATTATCCTGAAGTATGTTTATTTGAAAATTTTAATAATAGGTAAAACATATCAATTATATTAGAGTAGTGTATGATTTCTTCCTGTTTGCTCTGCCAAATTCGAAAGCCGTATTCAGTGTTAATCGTATCCTTAGTAGCATTACTGATCAACTATCAGCCAGGGGACGATTTCAAGATCTTGTATTAGGACTTGGTGTGACTCAATCGATCGCCTATTTAGGTTTCCTCTTAAAGCGAAAAAAAAACTCCTCATTCAGATTTAATCAGTTGCGGACCAACGTCGAGGAGGACGATCCCGTAGCGGGCAGAATTTCCGTGGCATGATTGCTCTCGCGGGGTTGATTCTAGGATTGAAATTAGGAAACATTAAATTGCTATCTTGTTGGGATTAGGTACCTGTGAAGTAACAACACTCACCTTAACATGAATATGATGCTTGACCATGGCTGCTCTCAAAACCAACATTCGTGAGCGCCGCTGGAACTCGTTACCTACGTTGATGGCTTTCTCAAAGGTTGCGCTCCTATGGTCGGCATCTTTTGCGTATAATATCTTGTTATGGGAGTCAATCCGGGCTTGAATCTGTCCGTCAAGGATTAACTGCATCAGTTCATTCTCAAGCGCAGCCACAGAACGATTGAACGCAGTAGCCATTTTGCGCATATCGGCCGACATGTATGGACTGAAGTACTGTACCAACGCACGATTGCGAATTTGAGTGTAGAGCGCATTTACATGTGGTGCAATGTACATGTCCAACAGCAGATTGTCCTTGATTTCATCGAGCAATTTCAGGCAAGATGCATACTTAGATTCATAAAATTTGAAAATTATGTCTCGCAGCTGAGGCTCCAGTTCAAGAAACAGTTTGAAAGAACTGCTGGAGATGACATTCTTAAGCTCCTGCCTATCGAAAGCTGCCAGTGCGCAGAGTCCACCGTACATTGCGACGTTGTTTGTGGAAATCATCTCCGGAAAATCACAGAGGTCAAAGTTTGCCTGCAAGAAATGCTTTGCAGCCGACTTGTACTTCCTGGTAGCCAGCTCTGCAAGTCCTGCTGCACATTTCAAGCGCGTGATAACCGCTTGATTGGGCTCCTTGTCCTTGGCATTTTCCGCAACTTCCGTAGTGTTCTCTGCTTTGGCAACGTAGCTTAGAACGTGTGACCAGTTCTGTAGATAGATCGAAACCTTAATGACGTTCAGACACATGTTAACCACATGCTTGCCACTAGTACAATAGTCACGAGCCCTCGAGTAACATTTCAGTGCATTGGACAAATCTCCGCAATTCAAGTAGTGATCACCAAGATCATCATGACCACGGCGGATGCTTTCCTTAATTGAATTCGCTCTGTAATTCTTAAGGTCGCAATCCAGCTTCTCCAACTTTAATGCTGATTTTTTACTCTTGGTTTCTACCCATGCTTGATCGAAGCTCGGTATGTCCTACAAAAATACAAAAAAAAAAACACAATAAATCTAGTTTTTTACAAAATTTGAAAACAAACTCCAAACCTGAGAGCTAGATTGAGCAGCAACATCTGGAAGGGTACTACCGCCGGACATGTCTGCCAGCTTCTTGTGCAGATGTTGATATAGCGTTACATTGTACGTAGTGGTCACATAGTTGATGGCCATCTTCAGGGCCTCAAGTCGCAGGGCAGAGCAATGGTCAGCAATGTAAATCAACCGGTGCAGCTTGGCTAACCCGGTGTATTGATTGGCATACACCTCCAAATCAATGGATGGGTTTTCCACTATGTACATATCCTCTTCATTGTTCTCATTATCTTCAGGTTGAGCATCAACCTGCATCGGTTCGACTGCATTCTGCAAAGGCAAAAACACTCAAAATAGGAAACGCATCCACTCGGATTACCGCACAAAGGATCATAACCAAATGAGCGAGTGATATGTTTGAGCCGAGGTTCGGCGGTTCTAATTTCCTATTAACCGACGTGCAAAACATTTAAACACGTTACGCAGAACTTACCGGTGCGATTAATGGTAGTGGCATACTGTTATTATTTTTATAATGAATATATTCCAATGAAGAAAATTTTGTTTTTGTGACACGAAAGTTTTCTCGACGATGTCGGCTTTAGCTGTCAAAAATTTGGTATTAGAGTTTTCCGGCCAAAAGAGGAAAGAGACGACAAAATCAACTGTGGTAACTGTTGAAAATAAAACCCCGTCACTGAAAGAAACCCACAGCAGAGAAATTAAGCCGACATATATAGAGATTGCTAAAGTATGATTGTGTCAGTGATTTGTTTTCATCGGGAAAATATTTCGCTATGAAGTTTTTTTTTTCCCGATGAAAACATTTTGCGTATACGTATACGTGACGTAGTGTGCGTACGATAAACGTCAGCAATCTCTATATTGTAAAGAAAATAAATCAAACGAAACATTAAATAAGGTCCTATATAATGTAATAGCAGGAGCATCGATTGACAATGATAGCTCGACTTTGCTTACCTTTGTTACTTTCGACGTAATGAAAATTTGCTCTTGCTATGTAACATTTGTGTCATCGAGAAAAAGAGAATCGAAAACTTGAAGTCACAAACGAAGTGATAGACGACTAACTGGCGAAGAAATTTTTTGGCAAATCAAAGTTGACCCCAGTGGAGAATAGAAGAACTATGAAAGTGATGAATGTTGGCTTATCTAGGGTCTAAGCCCCTAGTCTATACACCTACTGGCCTTCCCGTTGCACTCGTCAGCTCGTGCGTTACTCTAGACACACATGTGTGGTCGTATCCGGGTCCTCCCCTGGGTAGGCTCGTGTCCGTCCAGGTTCTGGTACATTAACTTATCTCTATGCATGATAATTACAACCGGTGGAAACTAATGATTTAAAATTGACTCACTACTTGACTAGCCTATTGGTCCCTATTGACGGCGACTCTGTAGCTCTTTACTCCAATGGTAAAATCCATAAACAAACGTCAGACCATGTCAGACTGTGCGTGAAACATGGCGGACTTCATACTATCCTTTCACTCCACTGAAAATTCCCATAAGACACTGTCAATCTTTGCTAGAAGAGACTGGCTCGGGTAAGCCAGTCATGGAGCGGAAGTAATAGAAAGCAACGTTTAGTATATGATACATTGACCTTTCTGGCGTTTATAACACGCACACTTGTTATATCCCTTTTTTTAAGTGCGAAGTTTGTTATAATCATTTGCGCTCCAGCCAAAAATGTTGGTTTGTTATTGTTATCCTCATTTTCGGACCATCAATACTCTCCCATATAGATATAGTATGGATTATACAAACAAAGATACGTGATGAGGTGAAGATAAGATGGGAAAAAATAAGGATAATTTTGTTTGACCGAAAAAGAATCTACATTGCGTACATACACAGCAAAAAAAATGTAATATCGATCAATGTAATTCAAGCTAATAAAATAAATAATAATAATAAATAATGATGTAATAGCAAAAAGCAGATACAATATTACATCAATGGATGTAATTTTGTTCGCAAAATCGATGTACATCGTATTACACAACCGATGGATTGACCTGGTTGCAGCAGTTTGGATGTAATATTCAACAACTTTTTTTTTCTGTGTACATGTTATGTAATAAAAATATATATATACGTGCAAGAACGGCCTGATGTTGAAGATGTGCATGTAGAATGTAGTCCTGCCCAGGCATGGAAAATCATTTGCATTCATTTCATACATTCATTTACATTCATTTGCCTCTAACTTTTTTCATCAACAGCATTCCGCAAAATGATATATAGCGCTTTTGTAGTTTTTGTTATTAGCTACAACTTCTGGTCATAGCTCAAATCGTTATCTCTTATGCATCACGAACTAGAGCGGGCAGTACTTGTTACTGTTTTTCAGTGAATGTAAAATACATTCACTAAAAAACAGTAGTGGCTTCTGTTCGCTCTGGTTCGGCATGCATAAGAGATACAAATTTGACTTGTTTACAAAAGTTGTAGCTAATAACAAAAACTACAAAAGTTCTATACATCATTTTGCGGAATGCTGTTCAAGAAAAAAGTTAGAGGCAAATGAATGTAAATGAATGCACGAAATGAATGCAAATGATTTTCCATGCCTGGTCCTGCCAGAGGAGTTGGAATGGTTTTGATCAAAAGAGGTTCGATAATATAAGAGAGATAGATATTGACCATTGAGTACAGAGAGAGGTGCCACAGATCGTAAAATGCTGTTGTTTTAGTAAATAATAAATAACGTAAACACAAATAGTGACGTCAGCAGCGAAAAGCAACCCCAACTTTGGCACAACTAACGATGAAGTGTAGATAATAAGAATTATTTTCAATATTGAGATGTATGCGCAATGCAACCATCTTTTAAAGAATTGCCTGATTAGCTAAATATGTTTACTGCTGAGTTTCCAAACTAGGTTTGGGATTCGAGTAATGGAGAAGTTTCTAGATGGCCTCACTTTAGAATTGGTGCTCTCATGATGGGGTGTACCTTGATAATCTATTTTTTAAAGTTACTCATAGAGATTATGGATGAATGAGGAGGTTATGAGTGTGTTGATAGCAGTTTAATTATTCAAAATGGGTCATTCCCCGAACAGGTTCGAATCGAGGAGAGTCTGGTTTGTCAGGACATTATGTATATGAATGTTATTGTGATACTAGTGTTAAACAGTATAGGTTTGACTTTCAATTTACAACCGTGGATGTGCTCTGGGATTAAGTCTGGGACTCCAGTTGGAACCTCGGTTGGAACGCAGCGGACACGAAGAAGATTAAAAAAGCTATGATTAAAAAAAAATGTTTTTAACGTATATGATGAATTTTAAATTAGTTGGAAAGATGAGTATCTACGACTAAAGTTAATGGAAAACATATAGTTGCGTAAACATTCATCATTTAGGTTGTGCAAAAAGATATATGATGAGACTTAAATTTTAATAAATGTTAGTCTTTCATTATTGAAGACTTCCACTGATAATCATATCGCCATTACTAATGATGGTTTGTAGAATCCAATTAAATGGTCAAAAGTTTTTTTCATCAAATAATGATGCTGCACACATAAGAACACACATGTTCTTAAGTTTTGACAACAACATTTCAGAAGGAGGATGACTTGAGGGTTAGATATTTAATGTTGTGTGCTTTTGCTACTTATAGAGGTAAGCGTTTAAAAGATGTCATTCTAATATGACATGCTTGAATTTGGTTCCGTATACAGGAGATTTCAGGTATTATCAAGCCGAAAGCGAAGGGTAGGACTCCCGTTCTAGTTTAGGAAACTCTTGGATGAGAGATAAAATAACTGTGGACATGCTACAAATAACATTAGGTTGAGAGTAGGCATAAACTCATAAAAAAAAACGAAGGAGAAGGATAAGATGCAAGAGGTGTGATGGTCTAATTTATTGTACTTAAGTTGGAATTGTATTCCACCTTTATTACTAATTTTAATTTTATTCCACCTCTATTACTAATTTTAATTTTATTCCACCTTTATTGCTAATTTTAAATATTTGTGTGATCATAAAACAGATGTTAATATATTTTATTTTATTATGTGTTTCTAAAAGTTATATTGTCGTTTTTTCATGAATGATGAATTTCTTAAGAATCCTTTTCATATATGCATCTAATTTTGCAATTGTTGAATACTATGGTTGAGGGAGACAAAAGTTTACAGATAATTTCACGGAAAGTATGTTGAAAACGGTGTTTTCGGCCCTCGTGGTGAAACCGAATGCAGGGTACGTCTTTGAAATGAGATTGTGAAAAATGCGTCAGATTTGGCAAACATTTGGAAAACATGGATTTTTTTTTTGGTTGAAGTAGAGAAGGGATGTAGAGTTGACAACTACTTGATACACTTGGACACACCCCTGTTTACTATACTAGTGTAAGTGTTCTATGATTGCGGATGAAAAATGGAACAGGGATGATGGGAGTTCAGTTGAGAAGTAAACGTGTGACAGGGCGAACTGTTTCCATGGCGATAGAATTCTACAGGTACAAATTACCTTTTTGTGGTACGTTACGGGATGTAAGATCAACCACCGATTCCTACACTGATAAAATTTCAAAGATTGTGTACCACACATGAATTTTTGCAATGTGATCAACAAATAATATCTATGTGTTGGACACATACTTAATATGTGTACACATAAAAGCCATGTGTAACCACACATACTATTCATTTGACTCATAAATTTCATGTGTGCTTCTAGGTGGATTCTGTTTATGCGTGGTCACATGAAAATCATGCGGAATTTTACATGGAAATTCACCAATAAAAATGTGTGGAATTTTATTAGTGTAGTCTTGACTACTTTAAACTAGGGGAACAGGATTTTTCAGTAATCGTATTGATAGCATCCTTATGCATGTTGCGTTCGTTGCGTTAGGGTTTCATCCACTTATGCAAAAACAACAGTTATAATAATGATTAACGCCAAAATATAAAGCAATTAATTTTTAACCTGAAAACTCATCGGGTGAGTTTTGCGCAGTTGAATTTTACAAGGCAAAACTGATTGCAGTTGTTTCGGACACTGAAGATGAGTAAAACCTTTGGAAATAATCACAAAATACATAGTTATAAAACACATATACATCCCGTTTATTCTTTTATACATTTACCATTTCATATAATCATTCGAAATCTTCTTATGAATATCAAACAGACTAGAGAACACATGATTGTCATCAACCGTTTGTCCATATTTTCGAGACAGTTCATCTGCAGATTTTTCATGCACTAGTAATCCATACCATCCGGCATGTCGCGCACCGAAATAGTCGGTTGCCGGCGTGGCTCCAATATGCAAACACTCTTGTGGTTTGAGATCCTTCAGCTCGGACGCCTTCATGGCGGCAGAAAAGATCTCTTTTGATGGTTTCATGTATCCAACATCGTAGGAATTGAGAACAAAGTCGAAGTAGTGATTCAGCTTCATGTTTCTAAGCAAAACATCAAGTCTGGGATCGAAGTTGGATACCACACCCAGCTTAAACGGAGGTTCTTTGTTACCATGCGATTCTATGTGCCGTTGAAGTTTCAAGAAGTTTAGAAAATCAACCGAACCGTAGCAGTGCTGCCAAAATCCACTGGTTTTGAAGAATTCCATAAAATGTTCTGTCATCTGTTCAATCTTGTCGTCCGGGATGTTATGTGTTCCGTTCTCGTTGAAAATGCCTAAAAGAGGGATAAATGGTTTAATGATTGTCGTCTTAGTGTTTTGAAAATTGCCCATCATTCAAAATTACGTACTAAAGCACTATTTGGATTTCTATGTCATAAATCATATGTACAGTAGAAAGTTACTCAAAGAAGAAGATACACTAAACGCTCACTAACGGTATGTAGGAGTTTAATATGAATAATCTGAAGGAACAGATATAATCGGAAAAGTTAAAAACCGCAATAAGCCACTGGTGAAACCCACCCCGCTGCAGGGTTGCTTCCACTTACTTACTATAAAAAATATTTTTTTTTTGTTTTTAATTATGAAACCATTAGATGTTATATGATAATTAGTACTTGTTTGACACATAAAGCTTGTCAATATTGCTTTCAGAGCGTCACAATCAGCGACTTTACGATTCGTGAGTGCTAACTCTGAGTGAACACCCAAGAATCTTAAAATCGCTTATTGTGACGCTCTGAAAGCGAAATTGACAGATTGTATGAGTTAAACACATACAACTTCTTCTTGTAACATTCAAATACAAAATATCATTATAACATCTAATAAGTGAGTGGATTATTGTGGTTTATAAACATAATAGGTACAAAAACATATATAACTGATTATATTGTTTTAGAACTGGGAAGGTATTGATGATGATTTTTAACCTAGTTACAGCCATGTAAATTTGATTTTAAACGATAAAAACCGTTTAAAAAAATTTGAATAAAATAAAATAATATAAACTGCTTTTTACGATTTAAAATTTCAGTATCTTGTGTAACATTCTTAGCAATAAAAAATGAATTTAAAAATCACCGGTTTTGATTTTTGAAACTATTTAGTAAATACTAACTTTAATGTGAAAAGCAATGAAAAATTTGAATACGCATATGTACATAGCACAATACACATGCTCTTCATCATGTGCTATCAGCTAGAGATAGGCTACAGAATTGCAATCTAATACCCCGTTCACACTACAGCCTATATTGCACGATATAGCATATCTTTATATAAGAAGCCATACATCTTATTTTCAATGGAAATTAAAAGTATGACGTTTGATATCAAGATACTCTATATCACGTAATATAGGCTGTAGTGTGAACGTGGTATAAACTAAACAAATTCGCGCGCATCCCATATCAGCTTACTGATAATTGAATGGGAGTGGGCTTGACATCATTTCAAGGCCCCGCTCTCGAAGTGAGCTGTTAATGACCTATAATGAACATAAAGACTTGTAAAAACATCTGAATAATATACATAAGCAGAAGATGCATTTTCGGAGCAATAGAGATTATCACGTCCGGCTGCAAGAGAAAATCCGAGGAAAATATATAACAAACCGCAGCCAAACTCAATTTTGACACGTAAGGTTAGTACCCGAGGAAAATAAACAATTTTACACTGTGCCCCAGCAAATTCTAAATTAAATTGAAAACTAAATTTGATGTTGTGATGTCGGTTATAATTATTACTCATGATGCTGTCGTTTTGGTCGTTTTAACGGTTAAAACACAGACAAAGTTAAAATAACAAAATTGAGAACAAAAAATCTTCCTGTGACATCACTTTGAAAACTTATTCTGTTGTCAGTGAGAGCAAACTGAAAACTGAAAACAATTTGATGAATTTTTTTCTTTTTGATAATAAACCGAATATTCAATTTGATGTACAAATGTACGGCAAAATGAACACAAAATTTGTTATAAAATGTGTCAATCGCGTAAACTGAAATCAAATTATGATTTCAATTCGATGTTGATATCAAAATTTGATTTCAATTTGTTGTCATTTTCATGCTGGGTGATGTGCCCGTTTGCGTGCGTGATTAGCATTAACCATAAACTAGTAAATTGTTTTTTTTTTTTACCATAAATTATGTAAGGGTTTTTGAGTGATTATTAAGCTCCTGTCCCCATTTGTAACACAGTTAGAGATTTAAGGTTAACCCACCTCCCACCTCCACCTCCCTAAAATTTTAGTAAGATTTAATTTTACAAAAGTTTCAGCCTCGCGCGCGTATTATGGATACAGAGGAATGAATTTAACATTGTATCACCGACAGACCGACATGAAACTTAAACTTAACTCTTGATTGAAAATCTATAACGGCCGATTCAAATGTGCAGCGATCCCATCTGTCAAACCCATGGAAATGTTTTATCTAGATAAAAATAATTTGTCCGAAATACATAAGACACGAACCAACTCATAAATGTTATACGCGTGTTCGTGGCTAGGATAAATATTTTCCGCGAACACGGCGGCAGATGTCAGTTTTGGGCTTTGATCAGAATTATTTTAGTAATTTGTATAATCCTTCATGTCGGTTTGTCGGTGATTGTTTAATACAGCTTATTTGAAAGGTTATTTTGAAGACGCCCTGAGTTAGTTGTAAGTTTTCTAGATGAATGTTGGGGGTTCGTGAGCATTCCTAACATTGCTTAAAATGATGATGACATCATAAAAATCTAAAAATTCTAAAAATTGTGGGGTTGCTAGTGTATTATGATGATCTGTTGATTGTTCGTTAACTCTCAATCGCTTGTAATACTTATGAATATTTTATGTGGACAAAAAGGCGAACTAAGAGATGGATGCTTAAGTTTTTCACATTTATATCGCTGTGAAGCAACTGTAAACTCTAGAGGGAATTTATATCAGCAACTGTAACCAGTTTGTTTTTGTTTGCTAATCTGGTTAAAATGTTATAAATAATTATCTTTAAGATAAATTGTCCAGCTCAAATCTCATCATTTAAATTATGTTCAGGTTTTATGACGTTAAAAAAGTTCAAATCAAATTATTTTATACTAACTAGTAAATCATAAGAAAATGTCAAGCTCCCCTCAAATTGTCATTAAAGAACGATGTATGGAAAAGATGATTGTTGTACAGTGACAATTTATTTTTGGTTTTTGTCAAACGTCACTGACCAAACTGACCGTTACCAACTCTGCTCTCTACATTGATGCAAGACAGCTTTGGATACAGAAGGCGGTATTGGAAACCCCACCCCAAGCTCCTCCCCTGATCCTATCCTTCGACAATGTACCCCTCCAACCTCGGGTAAACCGCGAATATTCGTCCCAACTCCTACTAGACATAGAAATAAGAGAATTTTGTTACGAACAATGAACAATTCAATGTCGGCTCCGTAAAGTTAACGCGATTGGGCCTTCCAAGTAAACGTACTAGATAAAAAGTAAAATAAAAAGGCGGTATTGGAATCATGCGTAAATTAATTGCTGACAAACTGTCGTTTCAAGCTATAGCTATATATCTTATTCAATGGGACACTGTTTTGTAGATTCATTAATTGAATAAGGTTTTGCACCGTCGGGGTTAACCTCAATCTGATGACAGTTCAGTGGTACTGTTTACGTGGACTTAGTTGTTTTTTTTCTTGGGTGGAATTTCTCGATAATTTTTCAGACTGCAGTGAGATGTACACCACACTTCTGCATTTTCCACGAGCAACATCCTTTCACCGCACTGTTCCTCGACAATTTTCAAGTTAAAATTCGGAAATTTCAATTTTTTTTTTTTTGAAAAACAAACGACTTGCTTGTAAACAGTACCACTGAAATGTCAAAACGGTTCAGCCGATTGTAAGTGTATAGATTTCGTCTACTTAAGCAACTTTGCATTATTATTTTCTTTAAAAAAATCTAGACCAACATTTGGAAACGGCAGAACTTTTTTGTCATCATTTTCTTCAAAAATTATAACTCAATAATGTCAAGTCCTACAAAAATGTTGCCAAATGATGATTTGTAGAGAAATAAATGAGCTTTTGTAAGAAAATATAAAAAAAATTAAAGTCTTTTTTCTACACTGAAAAAAAATAATTTTTAAAACTTTAAAATGAGATTTCTCAAAAACACCATTTTTTTAATCCGAAGCTTTTTCTAAAGATAGACATACCATTTGTCTACAACTCGTTGATACATCCTAAGATGGGCACTTTGAAAAGAAAAAACGTTATTCAATAAAAACTTTTTCGTGTTTGTACTGAATAAAATCTATGATCTTTTTTTTTCAGGGTGGAAACGACAAATTAAAAAAATTTCAAAGCCATCTTTTACGTCTACCACTGAATAAGATTGAGTCAAACTCCAAATGAAAAATAAAATGATCTTTTATAAAGCTTTTGAATATTAAGGAAGGGTCAACTAGTTTCGGAGATATGGACGGAACATGTTATGGTAAATATGGGTGTCGAATCAGTGAATTAGACAAAAAGAGTGTTATAGATTTCTTTGATAGTAATGATATAAGCAGGCCAATGCCTGGAATTAACGATTACGTGTCAGTCCGCATCGTGCTCTCTTGCCGTGCGGATCTATTTGCTTTTTGCTGAAGGAAGTGTTACTACTACCTAAAGCTACAACAAATTTAAACAGCACTTTTCAGTGCTCAACCTGTAAAAAAAAATCTACCTTGTTCAACTCTTATTCCTCTTCGATCCTTGTTTGGACCCTACCCGAGGTAATCCTTCTTGGATATCGATTTGGAAAATTCCTCTTCGATCCTTCAGATTCTTATAGTAATCTGCTTGGAAGTCGATTTGGATAAAAATTTACTGCCGCCATGGCGCGCCTAAACGCAAAAGAAAGGGGCAAACTCTTGACCCCCCTTCTGATGAAATTAATTTGAGTAATCAATTTGATTTGCTCACGGATGATGAGAATGATCCATCATCCAAGAAAAATTCTAGTAAACTTTCCCGGCTTTATGCCAAGAAGGAAAAGATTCCCCCTATTGTGATAACCACTTCCGATTTCCATGCTCTTCGCATGGAACTTTTGAATTTCGTGAAAGTTAAGTTTTCACTACAAATTGGACGTCGGGGTGAATGCCGTGTATTGGCTGAAATCTTGGACGGATTTAAATGTCTTCTCAAGTATCTTACTGAGAAGAAGCACAAATTTTTTACTTACGACACCAAAACTGAACGTGTGTTCAAGGTTGTCATGAAAGGACTGCCCAGTGGTGA